CAGATTTGTACTACAATTAGAAGTTACACAGAGTTACTTAATAAAAATTTAAAAATACTAATATATCACTAATATAACAATATAAATAGTTGTGGTGGTATCCAGTTGTATTGGTGTTGGTGTTGGGTTTGTTATTTATTTCTAATAACAGCAGCCTGAGTTTTGGTCTGCGTAATACCCAAGTGTTGAGTGTTGTTTATATAGTCATTTCTTATCTTGTTGTTGTTTATAACAAATAATAGTAATAGTAAGTATCCAAAGTACAATAGCAAATAATAATTTTATAAGTAATGTTGATGCAGGTAGTTCAAATATAGAATTGGAACAGGTTGTTGTTTTAGACATTAAGGTTGGAGTTTTTGTTTGGACTGTTGTCATTAAATTGATAAGATATCAATATAGCTAATAGTACAATAACTATTTCTGATATTGCAGTTAGAATTAGAATAATAATTGATATTGTGATTTGTATGTTTTGTGATTCAATAAAGAGTATTGCTGTCAGTTTAGCTGCGAGTATGATTGTAATTAAAGTTACAATTAATATTTGTTTGTTTGGGTTTATAAACAATAGATATTGGAGTATAATAGGTTAGTTCCAAGTGGAATATTCATCTTCAGATCCTGATTGTTCTGATTGATTTGGGGTGTTTACTTTTGCAAATTTAGCTTTCTTTCTGGGTTTAGAATATAATAGTAATCCAGTTCCTATTACAGGAAATTGTTGTTGTTGTGATTGTAATTGGGGTTGTGTTAATTGTGCAGCTAATTGTTGGATTTGTTGTGGGGTTAGAGTATTGTTTGGTGGTTGTATAAATAGGTATGCATTGTTGTATGCGTTGCTAAATTGACTTTTATATTGTTTCTTTTTCTTTTGTATACGTTTAAAGCAAATAATAAGAGTTGTAATTATTGTTGTGAATACTATCAATAATGCATCTAATACTTCAATAACAGTAACTAGAGTATTGTTTGAATTGTTTATTAGCATTGGTGTTATTATAACAATAGTTGGTTGTGTATTTGGGAATATAGTTTGGCTTATTTGGCTTAATTGTGTGGAGCTTAGAGTTGTGGTTATAGTTGGTGTTTGCGTAATTGGGATGAAAATAATAATCTGTGCTTGAGTTTGTCTTAAATATAATATGAGTATTGTCAAGATAAATAATTTTAATATGTGAATATTTATATAAAATAGTTTTACTTGTATTGTTTCTAATAATATAGTATCATCATAGATGATCAGTCTAAGAGTTTTACTGTTAAGTAAATTAGTCTCTTTATTCACTAATTTCTCTTCGTTATTGGGGTTCAATCCAGTAAGTCTATCACTTAACAAGTTACTTAATTATATAATAGATATTCGATAAATAGTTTATGTAATATAAAAGTTTCTTTATTAATAAAATATGATATCATTATACAAGAGTAGTTTTAATTCAATAGTTTAAGCTTCGATAAATAAGATGTTCAGCAATCAATACTGTTATTAGTACAAGGGGTGTTGTTAAAATCGTTAAAAATATTGCAAGAATAACTAATAATAATGAATTGCTATATGTTCCTAGATTTTAGAATGAATATACAATAGTAGTCTTAAATTGACTCATATAAAATATTTTACTATCAAAGTATTTATAAAGGTTTGTTTAGGATTAAATCAAAAGTTAAATAAATTTTACATGCATTTGTTATTAAGTGTGTAAGAGTTATAAAACAAATATTACATACTCGAAGTTTGCTAAGGTAAAATTTTGATGTTTAAATATATTTTGAATAATATGAATCAATACAATATTAATTTCTAAATTGTTAAACTATATTATACTATTGCATAGTTTATTTTTCTAATTTCAAAAGTATAATAGTTAAGTATAATAAGTCTGTTATCGGATTATCTTTAGATAAGTATTCTTTTTTGGTACTCATGTCACATTGCTTGGTAGTAATCTTTAATGATTTTTGTTTATTTCACACTTGGTGATCTATTTGTTTTATCTTGGATTGTTTCTTGGTACAATATATTCTTATTTATAAATTGATTTTCTGGGAATTTTGCTTGTGTTTTGCTGTACATCAGAAGCGATTGTTAAGCCCCAATTGATCATGGTTGTGACTGATACTTTGACCAATATAGTTCAGAAGACTAATACACGTGCACACTTATAGAATGACTTTTATCTGAATGGCTAATGAAATCAATTGTCTGAGTAACTTATTTATACACTTTAAAGTACTTTTTGAGAACGTACTGTTTTACTAAAAAAAAAAATCGCTATAAAAGCCATTCCTAGCTCTAAGTGAACATTAATATTCACTGTTAAAATTAATCTAAAATAATCCAAGATTTAAAAGACTTCACTTACAAAACAATGATGCCTATTACTAGACTATACACAATTACTGCATACAAAAGAGTGTCGTCAACTCATTAGAAAAGAGTAACTGAATATGTTATTACCAAAGGACAAGCTAACAATATTTTACCTCCTTATCTTCAAATAGGTAATATGATTTGTTTAACTTGCTACAATACAATTGTGATAAATAGTTTTACTCTATCTCAGCTATTCAATCTGATCAAGTTATAATAGATTTAACTGGATATTTCGGTTAAATATTATTACTAGCAATCATATTTAAAATATATAAATAGATTAAAAATGTCTAGCTTTTAATAAAAAGTAATTTAATTTTTTTATAGCTTATAATTCGTTTCTAATAATTTTTGTAACCATGGGAATATTAAATAACCTCAAAACTCATTATAACAATAAAAAATTTGCAGATACTAAAATAATAATAGATAAAAAGAAAAATAAAGTAATTTATGTTCATTTTCAAATACTTAAAATACAATCCAAATATTTTGAAAAAAGTTTTATCTCGAACTTGGGCCTATAAAAATAATGATTATTATATTATTAATAAACCAAATATGACAAAAGAGAGCATGAATAATATATTAAAATTTCTTTATTATAATAAACTATATTTCTTATTGTGAGTTAAAGAATTTATAAATATATTTACATTAGCTAATAAAATGTTATTAGATGCATATCTTAATATGTTAAGACAATATTTTATAAACAACATTGAAAAATTAATGTTATACTTTGAAACTAATTCTTGATTTTATAGAATGTTTTACTGAACTGTGAAAAACAGTAAAAAAAACAATATTTCATAAGGCTAAGCTATTTTTTTTAGCAAAAAATTTTAAACTATCCCTATTTAATATTTGAAATCTTTTATATCAAATAACAATTTAGATGTAAAAGAACCAGAAATTCTTAAAAAAGTAATTTTATAGTTAAAAGACAAGAATGAAGACTATAATAAATTATTAAAATATATTTGCTTCGATTAAATAGATGATTATGGCTTTAAAACATTATATATAAATTTAAAAAAAAGTATTAACCCAGCTATTTAAAATAAGATACAGGATGCTTTTTTATATTTAAAAGATAAGAAAATTTTATTTGTTATAACAATATAAATATTGACTCAAAGATCATATAGAAAGATCAACTTGTAAAGTTAATGCAGTGAATTAATAAACAAGATACAACAAATTACAGGTACAACTTTAAATTTTTATTAAGAGAAAATGTAATCAAAGCTGAGCAATTACATAGTTCTTGTATAATAAAGGTGCTACAATTGTGATTGAAAAGTTAAAAAATGAAGATAGTTTTATTGAAGATTATAACCCTTTAAATTGGTCAATGGAAACTTACAAAGGAATAGAAGATAGTTTTATATTTACTAGTAAAAATATGCAATTAGGGAGAGTTAAATCAAATTGTACCTTTATAGTAATCTCCTGTTATTTAAAAAGTACTTATTTTGATTGTTATGATTTATATATTCTATATAGCAACAATAAACGGAAAATTAGAAAAGAAGAATCAGATGAGTATATTGAAGCAATTGCAAAAGCATACCAACAAGATTTAGATACCATAAAGAAACACACTGAAGTAAAATATTTATGCAAAGCCAAGAATAAAGACAACCCCAATATGGAGTAACCAGATTAGCAAATTACGAATTTCAACAGTAGATATTCAAATATCCAATATCAAAATACAGATTAGAAGTAAGAAAGTATTATTAAACAGCATTTACAAAATACTTTAATACAAATACACCTGAATACCCAACACTATCCATTGAAGATAAATTAAAGATAGTAAAGATAATACAAAAACAAGACAAAAAGTATTTCAACAAACTGTTTACAAAGATAATTATACCAAACTACAAAAGAGAAGAAGTATTCAACTATATAAAGTACGGACATATCCTTAACAAATACGACATAATATATAGAGGATTGTTAATTGCAAACCAAGCAAAGGAAGACTATATTCAATATTGTCTATTAGCAAATAACTACAATATTAAATATAAATGACACTACAAAATAAATGGTAAACACTAAGCAAATAATCTAGACACTACAAGAAAAAGAATCAATAATAGAAAACAGAATTCAAAAACTCAGAAGGAAGATTAATCAAAGAAACAGTGAAATACAACAACTTCGAATTGAAAAAGAAAAGTGGCTACAAGTTAAACTGCAGATATATTGAAGAATCAGAGAACCAGAATCTATAACTAGTAAAACCTTACAAGAATTAGCAAATAAAATAAGTGAATAAAATAGCAGACAATGATGAATTTGTCAATATAACCAATTGGAACTTTAATGAACTGATGGGAAACTGGAAATACAATGGCACAAATTGGCTAGAATGGAGTATAGAATTTGAGAAAAGATACAAGAAAAAATACTATTAGAATTATTAGCAACAGGATATTTTACTGGAAACTCAAAGAAAGGATGGACAAGATTTAAAACAAATGATAAATCAATAAAGAATGCAACAACTAGAATGTTTAACGAATACTTTATAAAATTAGTAATTAATAAAATAGCTATACAATACTTTACAACAGAATTATATAGAAAATATTAAGCAAAAGCATCATTGTTTAATTGCTACTTTTGTAGTGACTTTGATGAAGAAAAAAGAATTCTAATATATGAATGGGAATGCCTCTATGATACTAGTGCTACTGTAGTAAATGATGCTGATACAGTAATATTAAATCCTATTGGATTTCCAAAGGAATTAAATGACAAATTTACAAAAGCAAATATAGGAAATAATAAAAAAACAGGACAAGATATTCTTGACTTTTATGATGACACTACAGACATAATGTCAATATAGATATCATTCAGATTATGAATGGACACACAAAATATTACCTCAGAATTTACATTAAAAGCACAACAAGCATTTAGAAAATTAAGATTTAACCCATGATATACAATAAATGCACATGAAGATGAAGAATTCATAGATAAATTTAATAGCCAAATGGAAATATCAAATTATAAGCAAAATTTTGCAACAGGTTTAAAATTATTGATGATGGATACTCTACCATCTGGAAGACACCAAGCAGAAAACTATTGAAGTCAAATAAAATTATATGAATCAAATATCAACTCTGAAAAGAAATTTTGAGATGCATTACATAGAACATATGAGTACTATAAAGACTCAGAAGTAGGACCTTATTTTAGAAGTAAAAACCCTCAACAACAACAAAAGAATATTAATTATATTCAAAAGAAATCTTGGAAATAAAGAAACCAGAACAATAACTATCAAGAAAATAAATTCTACAATACTGAAAAACCTAGAAAATATCAACAGCAACAATATAATTACCAAATAGTTAATATCAGTCAATCAAAATATTTCAATTATAGAAAAGTAGACCACTTCTTAAGAGAATGCACTATCAAAGAAACTTTTAAGAATTTTAAATCTTTTTACAACAAAGGAAAAGAAAGACGTAGAAATAACAATAACCAAAACCAAAACAATAGCAAGAAAGGAAAATGGAAGAAAACTTTTAACCAAAAGAAACCAGGAAGAAAATGAAGAAATAATCTACCACCACAATTTGAACATAAACTACAACTTATTTTACAATTTCAACAAAACCAGATCATAACTAAAATTGGTCAAAAATCAAAAACCAATTTTAACAAATTTAAACAACAACAACAAGAAAAATAATCACGAAACTTTATGAAACAAAAATGAACACCTTACCAAGCAAAACAATCTAAATTTAACCCAGGACAATAGAATCCTGATAAAGAAATTATCTTTAAAAAGAATTTTGACAAAGAAAGAAAATTCATAACCAGAACACCACTTATACAATTTGCAAATCATTTACTCATAATAACACAGATTGTTATAAAAATATATCACTGATGGAAACTAACAACCTTATAAAAACAAAGAATATGAAGACTTCTAAAGTTTTCAAGAATTTAAAAAGGCAAAGGATGCTTATCAAAACAGTGTAGATAACTATAAAGAAATATCTACACTAGAAACAATTACCAACAACCTAGAAAATATTATTTTACATAGGAGGCATGCTCTATACTCGTGACTTACAACCACAAACATACACTGGCTGTATAGGAGAGTTTAATAAATTAAAAAATAAATGTAATAACAAAGAAATATATATATTTAATAAAGAAAATATTAACCAAGAAATAAACTTTACCGCATATAATAAATTATACTTCCCAAATAAAACCATAATAAATTCTAAAAAACCTAAAAGCACAAAAGGATTCAATCTTATTGCACTAGTAAATAAAAAACTAATAGAATTAAAACTAGATGAAGGATCTACTAATACCATAATGGGCATAAATTATGCTAAAAAACTAGTAATGCATAAACTCATAAAAAAACTAGCCACTGCTGAAGCAGTAGAAAACCATATACAAATACTCAGAAAAATGCTCGTAGATATTAAAATTAATAAATTCTTAACCACAGATATAAAAATAAATATCTTAAACATATATTCTAAATATATACTACTAAGTAATAAAACCTTATCCGAACTTGGAATAACCAAAGATACTAAAAACCAAATTATTTTAATTAATAACCAACTAGTTATTAACTAATGAAATCTTAGCCGACACAACGGTATAGTTAATGCATCTAAAAGGTACTTCAGTACTGGGATAATATACACTGTGATCACTAATTTTCAGGTGACTTTGACTCAAAAAATTGTGTTCAACTTAGCTGAAGACAAGACCACATAGTGCTCAATGTTAATATTTATTACCTGCAAGAGACCTACCTACACCAACAGACAAACAATATTAGAATCAATCATCTGGATAGGATTCACCCCTATTAACAGATAAATAATGATATTAAGGATGGCCCACAACACCACTATAAAGGCACTTACACAAACAATAGAGGTTTCCAATTTAACAAACAATATTTGAATCAAGAAAAGGCATAACATAATGACATTTTCCCAACCACACAATTTACCAGAAAAAATATAAGTAAAGCAGCTATAGCTATATCCTATAAACAATATGAACTAAATCAATAAAGAAAAAAATTAATAGGATTGACATGTGATAGATTATGGCACAAAATAGTAGAAGCAGTAGTCCAAACTAATTGTAATATTGTACAAACATTCCTACAATATATACCAATACCTAACATACAAAACTACATTGAACATATAGGAAGTTACCTTACATTGCAAAGAGAAGAAATAGATATCTTAAATGATACTAATATAATTAATGGAAATACACTATCAAAGATAGAAATAATTATATATGCATCAATAGGATTAACAATAAGTAACATCTTATTAAATAGACAAGGAGAAATACAATAGCAAACTATATGAATTGCTGAAAAAATACAGAGAGCTTATAATATAGGAGCAAAGAAATATGTTTTATATTTAAAAAATGGAAGAGATAAAACTAGAGACTTTAAGAAAGAAATAAAACTAAACCTCGAGACAATACTTAAAAGAATGCAACAAACAGACATCATGATATTATTAAAAAATTCAGCATCTGTATGATGTTATAAAACAACACTAAAAGAATTGCAAGAAATTAAAAATTTAATAGATAAACAATACCATTACAAGAAAAATGGAAATTAAACAACAGATAGAATAAAATTCTGCTTTGACATACAATA